GGGGGCCAACTGGCCGGGGGGTTTGACAGACCCCTCATGCCCTGGGGAAGAGAGAGAGAGAGAGACAGAGAGAGAGAGCGATGAGCAACCTCTGCCCACAGCCCTGGCGAAAGATAGAGCGATGGCGGGCGTCTGGAGCGTGAGGGGGAGGGTGCACGGTATGCAGCGCAGGATTTCCATGCCAGGTTTTCCGGGATGGAGCACCGGGAGATCCTACCGAAGAGATCCCAAGGCACGGGTTCCAGGCTGAGGTTCTGCGGAAGGTGTGCGTCAGACTTGAAGCTTCCTGCAGGCCATGTGAGCCATCTGAGATGTACGTCCTCTACACCTCCGGCAGCACCGGCCGACCAAAAGGAGCTACCGAGCAATTGACCGTCTTGATTCTTGAATGAAAAGATTTAGATTTAGAGAGTTCCCTCGAGGAGTCTCAGTCTCACATCAAGCAGTGCTTAGCCACATCCTCTGTTGCTGCGACAAATTCGAGCTGCAGCCCTTCGACCGCGCCTTGCAATCGATTGCCGCTTGGATGAGTTGCTGCACCAACGACAAGCTCTTGCTGTTCTCTGTCTCTCTCTGAGACTTCCATGATCTGCCGGAGGCTTTTTCATTCGATTTTGCCGTGAGCCAGTCCGGAGCTGAGCAACTGGATCATAAACGATGAGCCAGGACCACTTCCTATCTGCGGCGATTGAACTCTGAGGCTGTATCCAAACCTGATTATGGGCGGGTCACTTTGTGTTCCACCAGAAGCAGCTTGCAAAGATCCAGCTGCGCTGATGCGAGCCTCGGACGAGGCTGCCGATTTTTGTCTGTGCAATTTTCACAGTTCACCGTCAGCCCGCATCGTCGGACAATGAGTTTTCTTTGAGCCGTGAATGATAGCGGTTGCATCAGCAGGTGCTGTCCACGAGCCTCGACATGGTTCCGACGCTGTTCTCCTTGGTGCTGGAGCGGCAAAGTTCACAGCTCGACTGGCCGCCTTTAACTTTTTCCATCGTTGTACGGGAAGTCGCATGCCATTTTGCGTATGTTTGCGGCAGCCAAGAGGAGACTCGTCGACGCTTGCCCGCTGTGCGACGCGTGAACCTGGGTGGCGAGGCTGTCAGTGACAGGCGAGAATGTCCCAACAAAAATCAAGGCCTATGACAGGTTATGACCCATGTCCACAGCACAACACTGGCGAGTTTTAAGTCTCTCTTGCTCGGAATATGGTGTCAGGCTTCTGCATCAATCTCTGAAGACTTTTGCAAATGCCCGGGTTCTCATCACATACGGCCCGACCGAAGCTGCTGTCGACTGCGCGACATGGCGCGCGGACAAGGAGAGGCTCTGTCAAGTTCCCAGCGCTGCCCTCGGCTGGCCAGATACTTTCCGGGCCGTCGAGGTCTGTGCGCCGAGCGGTGCTGCTGTGCCATTGGGCTGCCCCGGTGAGCTCCGAATCTTTGGTCCTGGGCTTGCGAAGGGCTATGTGACGGCAGAGGAGACCTCCAAAGCTTTCGTGAGCTCACATCGTGCTTCCGGCGTTCAGTACCGCACCGGTGACGCAGTGCGATGGGGCTTGATCTCCGGCCTGGAGTTTCTCGGGCGATTGGATGCACAGGCCGGAACGCAGGGGACAGTGGCTTCCGAGTAGTCTATGACGCTAGCTGCTCTGGAAATGATGAGTCTGAGCGATTGAATATCTGTGTGAGACTGACAAGGTGAAGGTTCGTGGACATCGTGTGGAGCTGGAAGAGGTCGAGTCGGTGCTGAGGAAGTGCCCAGGCATCGCAGAGGCAGCCGTCTGTGCGACGACATCTCCTGGGCTAGCCGAGGCTGATTCGGGAAAAGGGACTCTTTCTGGTCCTGTTGTTTTGTTTGCAGAGATTCCCGCACCTCTGCGAGGCCAGACTTGTGGCTTTCGTCAGCCCTCAGAAGGGCGCTGCGAGTCCAACCGAGCTTCCGCAGAGCTTTGCGGCCAAGATGCTGCCCGATCACATGGTGCCACACCATGTTTTCGCGCGAGGCCTCGAGGCGGGTCCTGCCCTCTGCCTTCTCAAGGGATGAGTCTGAAGAGAGAAGCCTTCAACTGAGCCTTAAGCCCTGAAGCACTTGAGGCCCTAAACCCAAAACCCCTAACAAATTCAGGACTGGCCGCGAAGCCCCACGGGCAAGTTGGACCGCCCTCGCCTGGCTCGTCAGGCTGAGGAGCTTCTCGCCCAGGCTGGGGCACCCGACATAGTCGGACGGTTCAGGGCTTAGGGTTTAACACGTTTGCTGCTTGGGGGCAGCATTGAAGGGCTTCTACTAGGTGGAGAACAACAACAAGATTATTCGCCGTGATTGTCACCTTCAGGAGTCTCACAACTTCATGCCACTAGGGGCAGAATAGTCTGAATCGCAAAACCATCTGCCAGCCATGAGAAGCAAACAAGCACCTACCGTCATAGCAACTACAGTAGGGGAACAGCAGGAACGAATGTAATCACTTCTCGCAGCAGCGAACACCAGCATGTTACGCTGTTTGTTTTTGTATTCAGAAAAGCTGGATTTCAAGTTTTCGCAAGACTCTGCAGGCTCAGCAGGGCTCGGATGACGTCCAGGAGCTCCCGCAAGATCTTCGAACCGCTCCCGCGCAGCATTTTGTAAAGCTGCTCCGGAAGATCCTTCGACTTCAAAAGCTTGCATTGGACAAGTCCTTCACACGGTTGGGCGGCGACTCCATTTCTGCCATCCGCGTCTCAGCAGGGCTCCGAGAGCAGGGCTACAAGCTGGCGCCCGCAAGACTGCTGATGGCCACTTCCGTGGCAGTGGCTGCAAAGAGCATTGAAGGATGCTCCATGGGATGTTGTGATGCTTCGTCCTCGAAACTCGAGGGCGATGTAGAAATGAGCTCGATGCAGACTCGATTCTTCGCTTTGGGTCTACACAATCCACATCACTACAACCAGTCCCTCATGCTCGTTCCAAGCTTTGACGCAGCGCAGTTGGACGCCTGCTTCCATCGATGCTTGGTGCGCCTCGCGGAGCACCACGACATGCTGAGGGCCAGCTCCTGGTCTCATCTCAGAGCTCGTCTTCGTTTCTTCGTCCCTGTTGCACTGCCATGTCACCGAGGTTTCCCGAATCTGGCTTCTCAACGGGTTCGGCCGCATTGGGAGGCTGAAGCGGCCGTCTCCGCGACAATCAGAAGAGCAAGGCAGGGAGGGTACTTGTTTCCACGACACTTTGGTGATTGTGGCACTGCCAAGCCACAGCAACGGACAGTCGCAATCATATAAGCCCCATGATGTTCAACACATTTCCTCGGTGCCATCAAAGCAATCTGATATTGGAGGGTAGGATGCCCGCCGACCAGGCCGGAGGAGTTCGGAGACGTTTGCCGCTGCTTGCAACAATCGCTGGATTTGAAGAAGGGCCCGATGATGGCTGGGGCCCTTGTGCATCTCAGCAGGTGGGGTCAAGACCGAGTGCCAACAGTCTCGTCGTAGGCAGCTTTGAGCATTGATGTATTACTCCACGGCAGGGATGCAGCCTCAGAGCATGAAGCATCTGCGACGAGACTGCTCCTCGTCATCCACCACCTGGTTGTGGACCTGGTGTCCTGGCAGGTTCTCATTGCAGACCTGGAGCCGCTTGGACTGGTTTTTGAAGCGCAGGCGGTCTCCGCAAGCGGGAGTCGGTGGACATGCCTGTAACGTCTGTTGCACCGACATGCTCTTAGTTCGATATTGTCACAACATAGTTCCATGTCCATGGCCGACCATGGCTGTTGTTCTTCTTCTCGTGGCCTTGCAGCAAGGAAGATTCTACTTCATGAGCTTGGTATCGTCCAAGAGATGCAGCTGTCCGTGGTGCAGCGATCCTTCGATGAGTGGCTTGCAACAGCACGAAGATCAAAGGGTAAACTTGCACATGTTAGTATTGAAATGAAGGTCTCTGTCTTCGGATTTGTCTAAAACAACCTCTGGATGTAAAGATTCTTCTGCCTCAACCGGGCCTTAAGCTGGCTCATCGAGTTCCAGTTTCCCGAGTTTCCGTGTTCTGTCTTGCTGCTCCCTTTGGTTAGTGTCATGTTGGTCTACTTTGAAACGCACGTTTTTTTGTGCCGTGATGGACCGCGCTTGAGCAACCAGGTTCCACACAGGAAACTCAGCCTGTTCTGTGAAGAGCTTTCGCTTAGGCCGGGCGACCTCGCCCCTGCGTTTTCGCTTGCCTTGAAGCCCTACAAAAGGGAGGCAACCCAAAAATCGCACAGTTTCACACCTAAAGCGAGCGGTTGGTGAGTCGTGAGAGCAGCAGCTGACGAGACGAGACTGAGATGATGGAGAAGTCGGGGTGACTCATAAGACGACAAGACGACAAATGCAAGCTCTCCTTTCGTGACAAGTCACGGAAAGAGGTTAGTTTTGCAACGCTTGCTGGCATCATGTGTTGGAGTTGCCGCGACTTTTTGTTGTTAGGCACGGCATCATACTGATGATCTCTTTCTCTCTCACACGCACGGAGCTTAGCATATAGAATTAACTGGGCTGCTTGGTCCAGAGTTTTGAGAGAAAGAGGCAACTTGAAGTATGGCTCCGATAAGGACATAAGGTGTTGCTAGTAGTTGAACGTGCTGCAAGGTATGTTCGGCTGCCACGCATGCCGGAGGCCAGACTCGAGCAAGCTCCGGAAAACCCCGGAGCGACAACCTGCAACCCTGCCGAGCTCTCAAAGACTGCGGTGGCGGACTGGGTCGCTGCTGTTGCGAAGGCCTGGCCAGTGCCAACTCTGAGCTTGGGCAAGCCAGGCATAGTCATAGTCATAGCCTCATTGCATGTGGACCAAGCTAGCCGAGCCCACCGGATAATGTGATGTCGCAGTCTTGGCAGGGCCCTCTGGATCATCTTACAAACACCTGGGCCAGAGCCAGACGTCAGGCCCGGATGCAGCCACGGGGCAGTTGCATCTATATTCTATGGTGTATTATTATGTATTAAAGTGGTGTTACGGGCAGTAGTAGTAGTAGTAGTAGTAGCAGCAGTAGCAGTAGCAGTAGCAGTAGTACAGCAGTGGTAGCAGTGGCAGCAGTAGTAGAGTGGTAGCAGGAGGAATAATGGCTGTAGAAGTACTACTAAGAATGCTACTACTAATGGTTCTGATGTTGGTGATCACGCTAGTAGTAGTAATATCATTCGTAAGAAGAGTAACAATAGTAGTAGAAGTAATAGTAAAGATAGTAGAAAACAGACAGAATAGTGGCAATGGCAACGCTAGCAATTCTAGCAATACTGGAAACAATAGAAATACTAGTAAGAATAGTAAGAACGGTAATAGTAGCAATAGCAGTAATAGCAATACTGATAATGACACTACTAGCAATAATAGTACTAATATCAGTAATAGTAGTGATAGAAATAAAAGAAATAATAGACAAGAAAAAAACAGTATTCATAGCAATCAGAGTGATATTAGTTATAATAGCAATAATAGCAATAATAGTAATAATAGTAATAGTAGTAGTAATAATAGTAATAATAGTAATAACAATAAATGGATGTAGCAGCCTGGAATACACTGTACGGCAAGGCGCAGGTCTCTTGCCGGATCGCCGCTCCTTTTAGA